CCCGGTCCGGTACGGGGGCAACACTGAGGGTTGCGATCCGTTGCCGGACACGGAAAAAGACAAAAAGACAAAAAAAAAAAAAAAAGAAATGATGATGTGAAATATGTGATATTAGGGGAGAAAAATGTGATTCAACATGCCTTTATTTGTGGATTTCCATTTGTTTCTGAGGCATTGATTTTGTTTGTTTTTTAATTTTAGGGCAGCAAAAGGAGATTTGGTACCTTTTGCACTCTTGCATTTATTGCATTGTTTGTTATCCAAGTCAGCATCAGTCTCTGGAGCTGCATACACAGAAATTCGAGCTCTGGTTGCAGCTAAAAGTGTTAAACTGCAAAACTTTTTCAGCCAGTATAAGAAACCCATCTGTCAGGTGAGAGTCAGCATTAGTTTTGACTATAGGCAATCACAGTATTTTGCAAGAGTTTAAAATAAAAAGATATGTATACTTGTTTTATTTTGCTTGCTTTAAAAGTTTATTTTTTTAAACGATGTATTTAGTTTAAGAGAACTGGTATCTTGTTGGGTTTTTTATTTTAGCATATTGGTCTGAAAATGTAGATTATAAATGGGAGAGGGGAAAAGGTTATCTTAAAATGATGAATTGAATTATGACACTCTACTAATCCTTTGGGAGATGCCTTTCTTTTTTAGGCTTATTATAGGTGATAAACTCTTCTAAGACTTGGTAATATGGATACAGCACTTTATTTTAAAAAAGGATACTCAAATAATGGCTGAAAAGTTAGGCTGTGTTAAAATACTGGCTTTACCCTGTATTGGTGGTGTAATCCTTACTACAGTATTCAAGTTTCTTAACTGAGCCTGGTTATTTCATCTGTAAAAAGGATATTATAACATAATCTACCTCATTAAGGTTATAAAAATTAAATGAGGCAATTCAGGTAGTGTAGAACACTGTTTGATACTGTCATTTGTTAGCTTAAATATTTAGTTAAAATTTAGTTAGTTAAATTATTAGGTAAAATTTCTTCCTTGTGCAAAAACTGACAATAAAATTGTTTTTGCTCTAGTTTTTGGTAGAATCCCTCCACTCCAGTCAGATGTCAGCACTTCCGAGTATTCCATTCCAGAATGCTGAGTTGCGAAAACAAGATGTAGTTCACCAGAGAGAAATGGCTTTAAATACTTTATCTGAAATTGCCAACGTTTTTGACTTTCCTGATCTTAATCGTTTCCTTACTGTAAGTTATAATGCATAGTTGACTTGGTTGAGGTTTGCAATTTAATATTTTTTTCATTCCATTGTAGATTTTTCTTTTTTTTTTTTTAAAAGATGACCGGTAAGGGGATCTCAACCCTTGGCTTGGTGTTGTCAGCACCACGCTCAGATAGTGAGCAAACTGGCCATCCCTATATAGGATCCGAACCCGGGGCCTTGGTGTTATCAGCACCGCACTCTACCAAGTGAGCCACGGGCCGGCCCCATTGTAGATTTTTCTAAGAAAATTTGGCAAAGGGTCAGCCAGTTAGCTCAGTTTGTTAAAGTGCAGTGTTGTAAACCAAGGTCAAGGGTTCGGATCCCTGTACCAGCGAGCCACCAAAACAAACAAAAATCTGGCAAGTATATCAAAGAGCATATAGGTCATAGATTTTCAGTTTATGTAATTTCTTTTGACTTTGATATGAGATTCTTATACTATAAAACTTAAGTTCATATTGATTTGAGTCATTGTTCTGCATGGTTAGCTGTCCTGAAAAGTTAATACTAATTGATTAATGCTAATTAATTCAGTTAACTATTTGAGCCCTTTACGTCTTTAGTGCTGAGATTGGTTCCATTGGTAATTCAAAGTGTAAAATGGTCCTTTCTACCCCTAAGGAATTAGAATAATAAAGTACGAAGCTAGTAGTATAGATGGTCTGTTATGAACTCAAGTGATAGACTTTGTGGTATGGAATACTTTGAAAAGTCATAGGGACTAAGGTTTAAAAGATGAAGGAGTAGATTATCTTCTTAACTTTTCCCAAAGGCAAAGTTTATCATTAATCTTAATTAAATTATAATAGCAATTCATAAAACATTTCCCCCTACAGTATTACTATGTTTTAACAAACTTAAATTGCTTGTCCATAAATTGGTCAAATACTAGAAGGAAATATGATAGCGTATATGGTAAGGACCAAAAAGATATTCATACCTTTTTATTTGGTAATTTCACTGGGAACCAAAAAGCACAGATGTTTATTGCAACATTATCCAAGTAGCAAAATAAAACAAAAACAAAAACAAAACCCTAAGAAATGAAATTTCAGGTCTAATTTCAGGTCATGGACTATTATATAACCATTAATGTAATAATTATGACAATTTTGTAGAAACTACATTATAATATTACAACAGTCTTACAGAGTTAATATTAAGTTGAAAGCTATAACACAAATAAGGTTATAAGTGTCTCTGAGGGCAGAGCCTGAGTCTTCTTTACTATCACATCTATGGTGCTTAGGATAGTGACTGACGTGTAATAAGTATTCATTAGTTACACGTAGAATGAATAAGGGAAAGGCCAACCATTTTATCTTTGGATTTTGCATATATTTTATGACAAGATCTTAAAGGAAATAGACCAAAATGAAAATAGATTTGTTGTAGTATTGGGATGGTGGATGTGTTAAAAGGTTTTCTTTAATATTACAGCATCAATCTTTAATTTAAAAAACTTCTGGCTGGTTCAAGTGTAGTGGTGGTTATAACTAATTCATCACAACGAGTTATGGATTTCTTTATTCCTTCTCCCCTGATTCACTTGGCTAGCCTAAAAATAAAATAAATTAAAAAATAAATGAAATTAAATTAAAAACTTTTTAAAAAATTGCATTTATGGTTACTCATCATTATTCTCTAATAGTTCAAATAATACATCCAACTTGGGACTTTTACCTTACAGCATAAGTATATTTTAACACACACTCATTAGAATGATTTTTTTTACCTTTGTACTTGCTTATTTATAGTCTGTCTCTCCACCTTTACAGCGTAGGCTCTATGCCATCAGGTGCCTTGCCTGTTCTGTTCACTGCTAGATCTGCAGTGCCTGAATCATAGTAGATGCTCGGTAAATATCTGTTGAGTAAATAAATGGGAAATCTGAATTCAAATATAAGTTCAAATACATGGATTCCAAATTCGTGTGGCATTTAAAAATATTTTTGTATATAGCTTATATGAATATTTTATCACCCAGACAAATGTACTTTTTGATAATTGTTGTGTTCTTTTTCAGAGGACATTGCAAGTTCTACTACCTGACCTTGCTGCCAAAGCAAGCCCTGCAGCGTCTGCTCTCATTCGAACTTTAGGAAAACAGTTAAATGTCAATCGTAGAGAGATTTTAATAAATAACTTCAAATATATTTTTTCTCATTTGGTTTGTTCCTGTTCCAAAGATGAATTAGAACGTGCCCTTCATTATCTGAAGGTAATTGAATATTTGCATATGTTTTACTCTTTTGTTTAAATTAGCATTATAGGAAAGGTGTTGTAACATTCTTATAGGAAGGAAGGTGAGTAATTTACAACCTATTCTAGAAGAATATAAGTTTAAATGTTGTTATATTAAATACTTTTTGTCCTGGGAGCATATTAAATAGAATTCTTCTTTTGTTATTTTCTTTGATCATTTCACTGTAATGGGATATTATAGTCATCTTTTCATGTATGAGATTCTCAGTTAATTTCATTTTAATATTTTTTAATTGATTGGAGCTATAAGTTGATTGATGATATGCAAATAATTATATCTACAGAAGAGGCAACCACCTTCAACTGGAGTATGATGTCTGTGTTTAGTTTAGTTACTTGGTATGCTGATTACAATTTGGCAGTTTTTTGTTTTGTTTTTGGCAGCTGGCCAGAATAGGGATCGAACCCTAGACCCTGGTATTATCAGCACCGTGTTCTAACTAGCTGAGCTAACTGGCCCACCCTGGCACAGTTTTTTGATGGTTTTTAAATTTGAAATTATAGCTTGTTCTTTTTCGTGTTTTATTAACAAAAATGTCTTTGAGGAATATCAGGCTACTTAGGAACAGGAAAAACTTGTGAGAAATATACATATAACTTTACTGTTTTCTCTGATGTTAATTTATTTTATTCATTTCATAATATGCCAGTAGCAGATCTCTTTCCATATGAGAGTTGAATGTATTTATTCATCTCGAGAAAGTAAATTTGTGTATTATAGAGATAGAATTATAATAAAAAGTATAGAGAGTGCTTACTACATGTCAGAAACTGCAAAACAACTTATATGGATCATGTCACTTCATTTTCACAGTTACCCAACAAGATAAAGGTACTATTATTTTTTCATTTAGCAGATGGAGGTTAGATTAGGTAACTTGTCCAAGTCACAACTAATAAGTGACAGCTAGAATTTAAACTCCAGCAATCTGACCAGAAAGATTAAGCCACTATATGATATTTCCTCACAGGGGTTATTGTCTGTAAATATTGAGGAGATGGTA